CACGCTCTACCCCGCGTACTCCTCGTACAAGGCCGTGAAGACCAAGAACGTGAAGGAATATGTGAGTAGGGAGGCCTCCTCCCCGCCGCAGGCCGGGAGCAGGCACTGCCTGAAGCGGAATGCTGGGCAAGGGAGGGAAGGCAGGAGGAAGGGTGCCCCGGGAGACACTTGGGAGCCTGGCCGTGAGTTCTGTTCTCTGCCTCAGCCCTTGGCTGGCATCCCTTTTCCTCTCTTCCTTTTTACTTCAAAAAGCCAGGCAATTCTTGGATTTCATCTTCCTGCACACCTGGTCAGTGCTTCCTGGTAGCCAGCACTGTCCTCTGCTCCCCGGGAGCTTCCCTCTGCCTATACCACTTCCACCATGGCAGTGCCTCAAGCAGCAGGCATTTTTCAGTGACTCCTTGTGCCTACAGAGACCTGCCCCGAGGTGGCCACGGGAGTCGAGGGCTGTTTGGCCTGGGGTGGGATGGGCTTCTACGCAGGGGAAGCAGCAGCTGAATGGAGACCAGATGAAACACTGGCAATAGGATGTTCACTGTGTCAGTACAGCTCAGTTGTGGCTTGTTGGTGCAGCCCATGACTCTCCATTCCTCTGCTGTGTTCACCCCTTAGGGAGCAACGCGTTAACAATATACATTGCAGGATCCAGGCTCATTGTGTCTCGTGTTTCCGTCTGCAGGAATTGCACAGACTCATTCTGTCCATTGGCTTAAAATTTAGCCAGCTAGTTTGTGAGAAGAACTGTCACTGGGGTGAGAGTCTAGCTCATAGCGCACAGATTTACAGAGCAAAACATGTGGCTCAGGATCTTTTGGGTTTTGGTTGTTTGTTTGATAATGTCAGTCAGGGGGAGTACCGTATTCCTTTCTGAACTACTAAGTTTATTTGTGATTACTGGATGGAAGAAAATATCAGAACAGTCACATGATCCTGTGGTTTCATAATTATCTGTGCAATCCTATTACTGCCTTCCTTGGTCTTTCTCTTCTCTTTCCTCACAGTTGTTTGACCTTTGTTTGTTTAAGCAAATGCAGATTTTACTCAGAATTTTAGTCTTGCTCCTGAGTGTCTGTCATGGAAGGATTGTGTTCTAGTCACAGGATGCGTGTTAACTTTATGACAGACTCAGATTTCACAGTTTGAAATTGCACTGTTGAGAACTTAGAAAAAATCTCTCTTTTTTTTAATGTCTTCTGGCATGCTTGTTCTGAGGTTCAGAAACCTAGAAAATATGGGATCCTTGAGTTTGTAGGCACTCTTTACAGGAAACTTGCTCATTTTCCGTGAGCAGCAGTTTTAGAGGCATATAGTACTATCCATCTTGCAGAATGCAAATGTTATAGTGACATGATTTTGTTTCTTGGTAGATAATATCTAAGTTACCAAAAGTCACTGATTTGACTTTTAAAAAGAAATAAGATAGAAAACTCACTAATTTGACTTTTAAAAAGAAATAAGATAGAATACTGGGTGTCATAAAGATATCCTAGCAGTAACATCAAAGAATGTCAACTAATCTGTCTGTAAGTCCCACTGGTGCCCTTGTGGAAAAGTCTGACATTTGTGCTTTACTGATGAGTTTTCTTGAAATGGATAGTTCTGGATTGCTGCAGCAAAGAACTTGCTCCTAATCTTGGTTTAGGTGAAAACACTGGAGTTGATTCAAGATACTACATTTGAACTAGTGAAATAGATCTTATCTAGAAATTATTTTTGCTTTAGAGGACTATATTAGATATAAGCATTTTGATATTGGATTACATCTGCTGAATTTGTTAATTATTGGAGGAATTTCTATTTCTCAACAAAAGCAAGAAGACACAGAAAAGAAATTTTGTTAAATACAAGCAAGGGGGTAATATCTGTTCAAACTATTCTTCATGTGAAAAGGCAGTGGAAAACTGGAATGCTGTGCTGCATGTTGGGGCCTGGAGCATCTGCCCTATGAGGAAGGGCTGAGAGTTGGGCCTGTTCGGCCTGGAGAAGGCCAAGAAGAGATCTGATCAGTGTCTATAAATGCGTTAAGGGAGGGAGGGAGGAGGATGGGGCCAGCCTCTTTTCAGCGGTGGCCAGCGACAGGACAAGAGGAAACGGCCACAAACTGAAGCACCAAAAGTTCCACGGGAACTTAAGGAAGAATTCTCTCGACAGTGAGGGTGCCAGAGCACTGGCATAGGCTGCTCAGAGAGGCTGGGGAGTCTCCTTCTCTGGAGATCTTCAAAACCCGCTTGGATGCAGTCCTGTGCCACGTGCTCTAGGTGACCCTTCGTGTGCAGGGGGGTTGGACTAGATGGTCTCTAGAGGCCCCTTCCAACCTTTGTGATTCTACGTTTGCGCAGCAGCACTATCCGAGCATCAATGTTTCCTGGTGGTGCTGAAGAGCCAGTGCGGGGGGGTGAGAGAGGACAGGCTCACAGGGTAACATCCATGCTAGAGAGCATGCTGAGTACTGCACTGGCGAAGATCAAGGTATGAAAAGCAGTTCAGCCATAACATCACAGAGCACAGTGGAAAACGTTCTTTTAAAACACTTTTTTTCCTCCTCTACTAATGAATTTTTAGCACCTCCTGGACTACTCTAGAAAGCTTTGGCTTTTAGAGACTCATTTTATAGTAGTTATATACCACTTGTGCTTCTGCACATTTTTTAGTTCAGCTATATTTTTCTTTTCTTTACCTGTAGGGGATGGGATGTTGGGTGGTAAGAGGCAGTAGGCAAGAACCAGGCCTGTGTCCAGCACTGAAACTCTGAACACGTTGTGTGTTTAAACAGTGACATAATGGTGTTTTCAGTTGTACTTGTTTCCAGGACGTTCTGCTAGCACTTAACAAGTCTAACGAACGTTGGGCTTGTTGTTTCCCCAGGCTGGCTAGGGTGACGCCTCCTGAGGGTAGGAGCTCATTTGTATGCCCCCAATAGCAGTCACTGTGGAAAAACAAAAACTGCCTGGTCATTGCTTTGTATTTAATGACGCTGAGCAATAAAGTGGTCAGCTGAAGAGCAGTCACTTTAGATGCCCGCTTCTGAACTCTTTCACCGGCGCTCAGCTAATTCCCTGCGTGGAAAAGTATCTTCTGTAAATGTTGTTGTCGTGTCACCCTTTTGTCATATCATCATCACACCTTTTACCAGTGCCAAGTTGAACACTGATTCCTGTAGGATTCCGGTAGCTACCTTCCTCGTTGTGAAAAGTGACCATCTTTTTTTTAATCTCTATTTCCCTATCTTTTAAATAATTGTTAATCCTCAGGAGCCCCTTCCCTTTTATAATTCTCTAATAATCTTAGCTGGAAACTTCATGGGAATGCCATAAACCAGGTTTGTAAGGTTACTCTTTTTTTTTTTTTTTAGCAAAAAAACTCTTATTCTTCATCATGTCTATTTCCATATCCGTATCTATTTATCTATTAGTTACTTTTGTTATGATTTCCTTATGATGATTTCTTTCCC